ACAGTAGAAAAATTGGGAAGAGTGCCTTTCCTTTGATGTGACTCTACAGAGTTAGGCTAAGGACATAATTGACTGAACATTTAATCAATTGGGAACTAAAAAGACAGAGACTTAAATCAGAAAGACAAAGTTAAAATTCTCGAGACACATAGGTGTTGGAGAATTTAACAGTAAAATTTGTTGATTTATCACAACATTTCAGCCATTGTTCCATCTGGGTTTTATTAGTTACGTGTCTATTGCAGTAACATTCAAGGAATTTACATATGACCAATAGCGGGACGAGAAAAATCTACACCCATGCATTAAAAAAGAGTCAAGTTGGAAATTCTAAAAGGTTAACCAGATCAAGAAACATTCCATGAACGCTGGACGAAAGAAAGGCAGAAAAGTTTAGATAATATAAGTAATGATAACTGCTCATAGCAGGAATACAGAGAGAATAACAACAAAGATGAGGATATTAGTCTGAATGTAAATAAAGATAAATCCTCATCACAGAAATTCAAAGAGAATAACAACAAAGATGAGGATATTAGAGTGAATATCAATAATGATAAATCCTCATCCAAGAAATTCAGAGAAAATAACAACAAAGCTGAGGATATTAGTCTGAATGTAAATAATGATAAATCTTCATCAGAAAAATTCAGAGAGAATAACAACAAAGATGATGATATTAGTCTGAATGTAAATAATGATAACGCCTCATCCCAGAAATTCAGAGAGAATAACAACAAAGATGAGGATATTAGTTTGAATGTAAATAATGATAACTCCTCATCCCAGTATTTCAGAGAGAATAACAACAAAGATGAGGATATTAGTCTGAATGTAAATAAAGATAACTCCTCATCCCAGAAATTCAGAGAGAATAACAACAAAGATGAGGCTATTAGTGTGAATGTAAATAATGATAACTCCTCATCCCAGAAATTCAGAGAGAATAACAACAAAGATGAGGATATTAGTCTGAATGTAAATAATGATAACTCCTCATCCCAGAAATTCAGAGAGAATAACAACAAAGATGAGGCTATTAGTCTGAATGTAAATAATGATAACTCCTCATCCCAGAAATTCAGAGAGAACAACAACAAAGATGAGGCTATTAGTCTGAATGTAATAATGAAATAATGATAACTCCTCATCCCATAAATTCAGAGAGAATAACAACAAAGATGAGGATATTAGTCTGAATGTAAATAATGATAACTCCTCATCCCATAAATTCAAAGAGAATAACAACAAAGATGAGGCTATTAGTCTGAATGTAAATAATGATAACTCCTCATTCCAGAAATTCAGAGAGAATAACAACAAAGATGAGGCTATTAGTCTGAATGTAAAAAGATAATGATAACTCCTCATCCCAGAAATTCAGAGAGAATAACAAAAAGATGAGGCTATTAGTCTGAATGTAAATAATGATAACTCCTCATCCCAGAAATTCAGAGAGAATAACAACAAAGATGAGGCTATTAGTCTGAATGTAAATAATGATAACTCCTCATCCCAGAAATTCAGAGAGAATAACAACAAAGATGAGGATATTAGTCTGAATGTAAATAATGATAACTCCTCATCGCAGAAATTCAAAGAGAATAACAACAAAGATGAGGATATTAGTCTGAATGTAAATAATGATAACTCCTCATCCCAGAAATTCAGAGAGAATAACAACAAAGATGAGGCTATTAGTCTGAATGTAAATAATGATAACTCCTCATCCCAGATATTCAAAGAGAATAACAACAAAGATGAGGATATTAGTCTGAATGTAAATAATGATAACTCCTCATCCCAGAAATTCAGAGAGAATAACAACAAAGACGAGGCTATTAGTCTGAATGTAAATAATGATAACTCCTCATCCCAGATATTCAAAGAGAATAACAACAAAAAGACGAGGATATTAGTCTGAATGTAAATAATGATAACTCCTCATCCCAGAAATTCAGAGAGAATAACAACAAAGACGAGGCTATTAGTCTGAATGTAAATAATGATAACTCCTCATCCCAGATATTCAAAGAGAATAACAACAAAGATGAGGATATTAGTCTGAATGTAAATAATGATAACTCCTCATCCCAGAAATTCAGAGAGAATAACAACAAAGACGAGGCTATTAGTCTGAATGTAAATAATGATAACTCCTCATCCCAGATATTCAAAGAGAATAACAACAAAGATGAGGATATTAGTCTGAATGTAAATAATGATAACTCCTCATCCCAGAAATTCAGAGAGAGAATAACAACAAAGATGAGGCTATTAGTCTGAATGTAAATAATGATAACTCCTCATCCCAGAAATTCAGAGAGAATAACAACAAAGATGAGGCTATTAGTCTGAATGTAAATAATGATAACTCCTCATCCCAGAAATTCAGAGAGAATAACAACAAAGATGAGGCTATTAGTCTGAATGTAAATAATGATAACTCCTCATCCCAGAAATTCAGAGAGAATAACAACAAAGACGAGGCTATTAGTCTGAATGTAAATAATGATAACTCCTCATCCCATAAATTCAGAGAGAATAACAACAAAGATGAGGCTATTAGTCTGAATGTAAATAATGATAACTCCTCATCCCAGAAATTCAGAGAGAATAACAACAAAGATGAGGCTATTAGTCTGAATGTAAATAATGATAACTCCTCATCCCATAAATTCAGAGAGAATAACAAAAAGATGGGGCAAAATGATGAGGATATTAGTCTGAATGTAAATAATGATAACTCCTCATCCCAGAAATTCAGAGAGAATAACAACAAAGATGAGGCTATTAGTCTGAATGTAAATAATGATAACTCCTCATCCCAGAAATTCAGAGAATAACAACAAAGATGAGGCTATTAGTCTGAATGTAAATAATGATAACCCTCATCCCAGAAATTCAGAGAAATAACAACAAAGATGAGGCTATTAGTCTGAATGTAAATAATGATAACTCCTCATCCCAGAAATTCAGAGAGAATAACAACAAAGATGAGGCTATTAGTCTGAATGTAAATAATGATAACTCCTCATCCCAGAAATTCAGAGAGAATAACAACAAAGATGAGGCTATTAGTCTGAATGTAAATAATGATAACTCCTCATCCCAGAAATTCAGAGAATAACAACAAAAATGAGGATATTAGTCTGAATGTAAATAATGATAACTCCTCATCCCAGAAATTCAGAGAATAACAACAAAAATGAGGATATTAGTCTGAATGTAAATAATGATAACTCCTCATCCCAGAAATTCAGAGAGAATAACAACAAAAATGAGGATATTAGTCTGAATGTAAATAATGATAACTCCTCATCCCAGAAATTCAAAGAGAAAATAACAACAAAGATGAGGCTATTAGTCTGAATGTAAATAATGATAACTCCTCATCCCAGAAATTCAGAGAGAATAACAAAGACGAGGCTATTAGTCTGAAAGATGAGGCTATTAGTCTGAATGTAAATAATGATAACTCCTCATCCCAGAAATTCAGAGAGAATAACAAAGATGAGGCTATTAGTCTGAATGTAAATAATGATAACTCCTCATCCCAGAAATTCAGAGAGAATAACAACAAAGATGAGGATATTAGTCTGAATGTAAATAATGATAACTCCTCATCCCAGAAATTCAGAGAGAATAACAACAAAGATGAGGCTATTAGTCTGAGTAATGATAACAATCCCAGAAATGAATGTAAAATAATGATAACTCCTCATCCCAGAAATTCAGAGAGAATAACAACAAAGATGAGGCTATTAGTCTGAATGTAAATAATGATAACTCCTCATCCCAGAAATTCAAAGAGAATAACAACAAAGATGAGGCTATTAGTCTGAATGTAAATAATGATAACTCCTCATCCCAGAAATTCAGAGAGAATAACAACAATGAGTCTGAATGATGAATCCTAAATAATTCAGAGATAACTATCCCAGAAATTCAGAGAAATAACAACAAAGATGAGGCTATTAGTCTGAATGTAAATAATGATAACTCCTCATCCCAGAAATTCAGAGAGAATAACAACAAAGATGAGGCTATTAGTCTGAATGTAAATAATGATAACTCCTCATCCCAGAAATTCAGAGAGAATAACAACAAAGATGAGGCTATTAGTCTGAATGTAAATAATGATAACTCCTCATCCCAGAAATTCAGAGAGAATAACAACAAAGATGAGGCTATTAGTCTGAATGTAAAATAATGATAACTCCTCATCCCAGAAATTCAGAGAGAATAACAACAAAGATGAGGCTATTAGTCTGAATGTAAATAATGATAACTCCTCATCCCAGAAATTCAGAGAGAATAACAACAAAGATGAGGCTATTAGTCTGAATGATAAATAATGATAACTCCTCATCCCAGAAATTCAGAGAGAATAACAACAAAGATGAGGCTATTAGTCTGAATGTAAATAATGATAACTCCTCATTCCAGAAATTCAGAGAGAATAACAACAAAGATGAGGCTATTAGTCTGAATGTAAATAATGATAACTCCTCATTCCAGAAATTCAGAGAGAATAACAACAAAGATGAGGCTATTAGTCTGAATGTAAATAATGATAATTCCTCATCCCAGAAATTTAATAAATACAAAAATAATATGTCAAAAATATTCTATTTATTTAAAAAAAAAAAAAATTACAGAGAGAAGAACATGAAATCATTGGCAGCCTTCAATGAAGATGTGTTGTTTATGTTGTATAAATCTCGGAGAATCATTGAATACTACGACTGAAAATGTAAATTCCTTTGTATCAAAAAAGAAATGGTGGCTTGTAGAATAAAATATGACGTTATGATTTCAAAGAATTCATTTTTTGTCATTGTGACGCTCTAGATTGAAATGGAATTGGAAGACTTTGCACAAGAACCAGTTTTAACAATGGACTTCGTCTCATCCTAATCAATGCAAGTACAGTAGAGAGGTATTGAAAATTGATCGAATTCCAGTGGAAGATGATGTTTCCAATCAAAATCAATCACTAGAATCGACATTGTTCGATTCCTGACTTGGCATGTGTTACAGTTTCCATTCCTGAAAAAAAAGAGAAAAAATATTTTCAAAATGTTATTTTTGATAACACCCACCACACATGGGCACAGAGACATAGACACAGAGACACACCCGGAAACATATGTACGTCCACCCATAGAAACACACAGATCGTGGGTGAAATATTAAATTACAAGAATAATATGCAACCTTTTCAATAAATGTAGCAGACTTGATTGAATCTGGAAATTATATGTGTTGTCGTTAAAATAATTCCTCTGGAAATACATTGCAAAGAAAAAAATTTTTATGTTATCTTTTTCAAAATAGCTGAGAAATAGGAAGGCCGTGGTTAGAGAGTGTATCGAAGGAACAGAAGACTAGGTAGGGAAAACAAAGAAAAAGAGGTTTATTAAATACTCATACATACGAGTTCAAAATAGCCGAGAATTTGTAAGGCCGTGGTTAGAAAGAGTATCGAAAGAACATAAGTCTAGTTAGGGAAAACAAAGAAGAAGGTTTATTAAATACTCATGTTTAGGAGTTCAAAATAGCGGAGGATTAGGAAAGCTGTAGTCACAGAGAGTACCGAAGGAACAAAAGACTAGGTTGGGAAAAGAAGGAAGCGGTTTATTGAATACTCATACATAGGACGGAAAACCTGGAAGAAAATTAACTATATCATCAAATCCTACTCTAATGTGGCTACTTGCCGTATTTAAAATATTGGATCGGTCCATTGTCACAGTAGTAGATTAGACCGGGAAGTGTGATGAGTCATCGACTACAATAAAATGCAACGATGTGTCAGGAATTAATGCGCATTGATGATAGTCTTACTTAAAGATTTTATTAGAGGAACTGATAATAATTTTAACATCTTTGGAAATAAAAGGACCCCTGAAGGAAGAAAAAATCGGACATATTTCGCAGACACAAATCATGGAAGGAAATTTAAAAGAAGATTTTATATCAATAGAAGCTGATCAATAAAATCAGAAACCTTTCCCGCTGTTGTCAACAAGCATATTACCATAACAATAACAACTCATAATAGATTTTCCCTTTGACTCTGATTCTAACAACTGTTTACCTTCCCTAGATAACCTTCCGTTCGATTTCTACAGAAAAATCTACCAAGAATGACTATATCAGTTTTTATTCCAACCACTTCAGTAGGATAAAATTTAGAATAATTATATGATTCTATTTATGAGCACTAAGAATTTGCAGCCTCCAATATTTACAGGAAGAAGGAACCTTTTCTATGAAGGTTTCGAAAAACTTTCAAAAAACTCCAATAAACTCATTATTTCAACAACATCCTCATTATTTCAACGGCAATTCTAAGAGAAAGGCATACAAAATATACAACCTCAAAATATAATATTATTAACAACAATAACAAGGACAATAAACTAGATAAAAATAGATATACAATACTACCTACTAATCACCTGAAATCTATTATCCAAAGCAATTTATCCAATCTTAACAACATCAAAATAATTGCAACCACATCCAAAACAATCATGGATATGATCGGAACCTAAAAACAAAACTATCATAATTTTAATTCTGTAGCGGGTATATATAAAAGAAAATGTCCAAAATGCTCTTCAAATTACAAAGGGGAAACTTGCAGGAATTTAAAGAAAAAGTGTATATGAACACGAAAAGGATTTTATGTTCAAGAATAGAATTCAACCACAACTTTGATCTAAAGAATGCCACATATATTAAAAGAGAAAGTAACTTAAACGGAAAATTTTCCAGTGTGTCGCTATCGGATCTTATCAAAATATAAATCTAGGCACCGGATTTTTTCAAATATCTCCATTCCTAAAACAATTACTTCCTTCAAAAGCCAACATACATAACTAAAAAAATGTTAAAAAAAAAATCAAAGTTAAATTCCCTGTTATATATATATATATATATATATATTTGGTTGGATTGATGTGAGTTTGTGACCCTGGGTTTCACGCTTTTGCGATCGTCAGACAAACTGATTAATTTTTTTAAAATTTTGGGTTTATGTAGATTATATACATAAAAGCTACGTCACTTAACATCTTCCATAATTTACCTAGTTAACCTGATGAATATTTATGAGCGTCTCTTTGAAGTTAAACATTTTGAAAAACTCAAAGGAGATTGACACAGGCGAGATCTGGCAAACCTGGTTGCATCGGCCCGACTAGCGCTGCTCTCTAGTTTGGCCGTTGAGATCGTCTACAATTTCTTTGCCTATTCCGGGTGTTTTCGGGGTTGGTCGCGTTCAGACTTGTACCTCCTCGACCTTGTTGTCGTGGGTGGCCCCTTCAAGAGCTGGAATCCCAGACTTGCTCTTGAGATCACTGGTACACGCCAACACATCGCCACCACAAAGAACAATAATTGGAGGGAAATACCCCTATAGAGGATAAATATTATGCAATGGTAATTTTAACTAAAAATTAATAGGTATTAGGTTACTGATCAACTAACGTTCTGGGTATGAAGATAAACAACATCCGTCGGCAAGTCCTTTGATAAGGGGATTGGATGTTTTGAGGAGAGTGGAACCACCTCTTAATTTGCTATTCTTCCGCGTGGTAGCACATGTTAAGGTCCCAGCTATGGGTAAATAGTTAATCCCCAAACTAGGGTTAAAAAAAAAACAAGACAAAAAACAATGAAAAACGTATTTTTACAGTAATACATTTTCATATTAAAAAATTACTATCAATACATTTAAAAAATATATTACCAGCAATACATTTCTGTAAGGAAAAAAATTCCAACAATACATTTTTGTAAAAGAAATTACTCCCAAGAAAATTAAATTTCGATATTAAATGACCCATGAGGATGTTGATATGCCACTAAACAAATACGTTCTCAATTTCCTTTTAAAGAACTCAATAGACTATTAAATGTCTATAGTTCAAATTACATCTATACTTAAAAGGGATGCTGAAAAGTGCTGATACCAGAACCACTTAAATCTGACTTCTTTTCTTTTTATGGGCCATGTCCTTTCCGGACATAGGCGATCATGGCTCTCCACCTCCCTCCATGCCTTGCAGCTCTTGGCAAGTTCTTTCCCTCTGCTTCCTCCCCCAGACCAATATTCTGTCATCCACCTGCTCAAGCTTGTCAGTTATGTCATGCACTGCTTTCCCTTGTCTCTATTTCCTTCTATACGACCTGTGAGTATCAGATTCTCCAGGCTCTCCTTCCTCATTAAGTGTTCCAGAAACTTCAGCTACCTCATTCTGTCAAAATCTCAACAATTTTTTTCTAAAGGGCTTGGGAGAGCTTTCAAAATCCATTTGTATGTTACTATCAACCAACAATATTAGAGAAAATTCTTACACCCCTTGAGAACACATTAACTCACCTAACCAACTTCCCATACTACCCATGGAGCTATTAATAATTTATAGAGATCTATGTTGAGTACAATGATTAAATTTCCAGCAATACATTTTTTGCAAAAAATGAAGAAAAAGAAAAAAAAAGAAAAAAGAAAAATTACTACCAACACATTTTTGAAAAAGAAATTACTAATGCTCCTAAGAAAATTAAATTTCTGCATTAAATGACCCATGAGGATGTTGATATACCGTTAAGCAAACAAAGTAACTGATCAACTTTATGACATGCACATATTTAGGAAGGAAATGGATTGTAAATGTATTTACGAAACTAAAAGAGTAATTGTTTTGTACTTTGACAGTGGGTGGAATTTTCAATCCAAACTTACTTTATGCAACTCCCGACAGGAATCCATTGACGTAGCCATTCTGTTTGAAAAATTGTTCGTTCCTCGCCAAGAATATTTGTCCTAACTGGTAAGTTATCGAATGTGCGTGAACTGAAAGAAGGAAAAAATAACATTAGAAAGCGTTCAATATATATATATATATATATATATATATATATATATATATATTATATATATTATGAAATGGACAAAGTCCGAGAATTATTCAACACATTTTTATGTTTATACGTTCTTTTTATAGATACAAATATTTAAGTCAATTTCATAATGTATGACGTCATTTGTTTACATTTGGATACGCATTGAGCAGATATGAATGAATGAGAGAAAATCATGCCGAATTGTGTTTAAAAACAGTAAAATCGACATTGCTAAGCGAACGCTCCTCCGTGGCCCAATCGGTTAAGGCACGTCAGGCTATATGGCAGTTCCGTATATGATACAGATTCGATTTCTGTCGGGGACCGCATATTTTCTATGAAAATTTCTCGGACATTCAGACTGGTAAATGTTGTTAATACTGTTTATTATAAAACAGAGCATTTACTTAAATATCTGTATCTATAAAAAGAACACACACACACACACACACACACACACACACACACACACACACACACACACACACACATATATATGTGTGGTGTATCAAAAATACTTTTACAAACTTTGGAAACTGGTTCCTCACACCAAAACAAGAAAAGTCCATATGAACATATAAGTTCAAAGAAAGTTTACGGCAGATGGCGCTGTGTTGCAATGTAGACTAGGTTACGTTTGTCATTTGTGTACATTTATGGCTAGTCTGTATTCAGCATTTAGCGTGCGTAGTAATGAGTTAACTGAGAAGTGTTCTGTTTAACATTGGCACAATATGCACATCGTGAGTAGTGAATGGTAATGGACGCGACGCTGCACGGCTATATCAGATTGCGTTTCCAGCCTTTGCTGCTGTTTATTGTCACGTTGCTGAGGTGGGATCTGTGGCACCGCAACTATGGATAGAGGAAGACTGAGAACCCCTCCTACACCTGACTACGAAGAACACTTCTACATGGTCTTTTGGATATATATTTATATAGAGATTTTAGCTCAGCGTGTGAGGAAACAAACCCCAAAATTTGTAAAAGTATTTTTGATACACCCTGTATAACTAATGAATTGGCCGAAAGCGCTTAGGACAGTAATGATTGCAGACAGTTTTTATACTTTCTTATCCCGTACTAAAAATGAGAACTATAAAAACATTCTTCTATCTGCCATGCCTATTCAGGACGCAGACGATAATGGCTCTCCACAATTTCCTGTCCTTTGTAGCTCTTAATATATTTTGTCTTTTTATTATCTCTCCTAAACCTTCGTCCATCATACATTTACAAAGCTTGTTATGTACATTATGCGTTGTTTTCCTCTGTCCCTCTTGACTTCAATCTGTCGTGTGAGTGTCAAATTTTCCAAGCCTTCTTTCCTCATAATGTGCTCTAGAAATTTCAACTCCTGATGTTAACTATAAGTGCACGTTTTGTTTCCATTTTCTCTAGAACTTTGCTGTTTGGTCCATGATATTCTCAGCATCTTTCTGTTGAGACACGTTTATGTTGATTCGTCTCTTCTTAATCTGTGAGGAGATTGTTCAGAATTCACTGCCATATGGAAGGGCTGATATTACAGTTTGGTACTTCAAACACTGTCTCACAGACGTGATGTGGCTTCCTTGTGTCTTTTCTACAAATATTTTCATAGCAATTGCTCTGACGAGGTTTTTCCCTAAAGAAAATGAATTTAAGTGTTATACTAGATTCGCATCTTGGTCCCACGCTTTACAGGTTAGAATAGTTAAATGTAACCGGAATTTCTACTCCAACGCTTTCTTCTTCTCGCACTTCCCGACAGTGGAACTCCTTTCCGTTTACTTGCTTCACTGAAAAATATAATCTTCAAAAAATTAAATGCAATTTCAACCACCACCTTTTGTCGTCTTGAACACCGTTCATCTTTATCCCGGGGAGATGTAACAGAGGTCTTCCCACACATTGTAAAGTAAATTTCTTCATTTTTTGATTTTTGTTGATGGAGATGCGCCGCCGATTTTAGACAAGGTTGTCTTTGATTAGCGGCATATCATCACCTCTATGAGGAATCTAATGCCGAAATTTAAATATTTTGTACTCAATTTTTTTTTTTGGTTTTAGTAATACAAGTTTTACTAATTAACCCATAGATGGTGGAGAAAACATTCATATCATTTTCCAAGGTTATTTGCGCGTGAATGATTATAACCAACCCAACTGGAAGGCAATTCCGAGTCAATATCCACCTGCGCACCCAAACATACCAGCACCTGGTATTCCCAAGAGGTTACCCATCTAGGTACTGACCAAGATCGACATTGCTTAGCTTCGGTGTTCTTAAAGGAAACGGTGTTTCAACGTGATGTGGTCGTAAGCTTGTGCTTTTTGGTGGTTGAGGAGTGTGAGGACGATGGTGTGAGATAGAGAGAGAGAGAGAGTGAGGAACAGAGAGGAGATATATAGCAGGAGTAAAGATAGGTGAAGTTTGAGAGAGAGAGAGAGAGAGAGAAAGAGAGAGAGAGAGGGGGAAGGAGAGAGGGAAAAAAGATACATGGCAGGAGTAAGAATAGGTAAAGTTTGAGAGAGAGCAAAAAGAAGACAGACAGAGAGAGAGAATGAGATACACAGCAGGAGTAAGGATAGGTGAAGTTTGATAAAGAGAGAGAGAGGGATGGAGTGAGAGAATGAGATATATAGCAGGAGTAAGGATAGGTGAAGTTTGAGAGAGACAGGGAGGGATGGAGAGAGAGAAAGACATACATGGGAGGAGTAAGGATAGATGAAATTTGAGAGAGACAGGAAGGGATGGAGAGAGGGAAAGAGAAAGATGGCAGGAGTAAGGATAGTTGAAATTTGAGAGAGGGAGGGATGGAGAGAGAGAAAGAGATACATGGGAGGAGTAAGGATAGGTGAAATTTGAGAGAGAGAGGGAGGGGAGAGAGAGAGAAAGAGATACATGCCAAGAGTAATGATAGGTGAAATTTGAGAGAGAGAGAGAGAGAGAGAGAGAGGGGTTAATGGAGAGTGAGAAAGAGATACATGGCAGGAGTAAGGATAAGTGAAATTTGAGGGAGAGAGGTAGGGATGGAGAGAGAGAAAGAGATACATGCCAAGAGTAATGATAAGTGAAATTTCAGAGAGAGAGGGGTGAATGGAGAGAGAGAAAGAGATACATCTCAGGAGTAAGGATAGGTGAAATTTGAGAGAGAGAGGTAGGGATGGAGAGAGAGAAAGAGATACATGCCAAGAGTAATGATGTGAAATTTGAGAGAGAGAGAGAGAGAGAGGGGTGAATGGAGAGAGAGAAAGAGATACATGGCAGGAGTAAGGATAGGTGAAATTTGAGAGAGAGAGAGAGAGAGAGAGAGAGAGAGGTTGGGATGGAGAGTGAGAAAGAGATACATGGCAGGAGTAAGGATAGGTGAAATTTGAGGGAGAGAGGTAGGGATGGAGTGAGAGAAAGATATATGTTATATGTATATAGAGGACAGGGATAGGGGCGTTGTTTGAGAGAGAATCGAAGAGAAAGAGATATAGAGAGAAAGACTTAGAGAGTAGGACTTGCGTTGGGTAGCAGGTATTCAAACTTACAGTACGGGAGTAGGAATAGGGTTTTGTTTCAGAGAGAGAGAGAGAGAGAGAGAGGGGAGATTAAGATATATATATATATATATATATATAGAGAGAGAGAGAGAGAGAGAGAGAGAGAGAGAGAGAGAGAGAGAGAGAGAAGGAGAGACTTACTTTGGGCAGTAGGTATTGTTTTAAGCATTTCACCCCAAGCAAGACAGAAGTGCCACTAGCGCACAAGGGGTTGCAGAGGATTGAGAACAAGAGTAAAGAGGCGTGTTTGGGGAGAGCATAAAAAGAAGGACGGGGAATATGATCAAAGTATCAGAAGATGTCGATCGAGATTACATTTGAATAGTTGAAGATTATAGTTATCAGGGAAGCAAGTAAGAGGAAAAGAATTCCACGACAGTGAAAAGTTGGGACCGAAATGCCAACCTAGTAGCTCTCTTAAATTCATGCAGCGAAAGCAACTTGACGGAACAATTGCCGTGAAAATACTTATAAGAGAGACAAAGGGAAGCCACGTTACGTCTGTGAGAAAGCGACTGTAGACTAAATACCAGATCAGGACCTATCACTTTGCATATCTGTCTCTGGATTTTGTCAAGGACCTCGAGACGTACAGTGGGGGCACCAGACCATATATGAAAGCAATATTCCATGCCAGGACGGATGATTGATTTATAGATTTGAAGGATGGATTCAGATGAGAAAAACTTTCTGACACGACACAGAGAACCAACTTTCCTTGCGATAGATGAAGCTATTGATTCAATGTATTTGCCCCACCTCACATCAGCGGACAACGTGAGACCAAGCAGGCGCAACGAGGCGCTCTTATGGAGTTGGGCATCAGCCATTCTGAGGGGTGACAGGGAGGGTTCTCTGTGGTGGGTAAATGAAAGCAGTTTTGTTTTGGAGGCATTGAAGTTTACAAGCCATTTCCTGCATCAACCATAGACTGGAGGTCCTTTACGAGACCGGCGGCCAGATTAGTTTTGTCAACGATACCAGATTTAGTATTGAGTAAATAGTAGTTTCGTTCACGTAGATGCCTACTTTGGAACTGATGACATCAGGAAGTTCGTTAATGAAGATAAGGAACAGTGTAGCACCCAGGATAGAGCCTTGGGGAACACTGGCGTTCGTGCTAAAGGAGCTGGAGAACCCGTTTAGGATGACGTTCATCTCACGGTTTGACAGGAATGATGGTATTAAGTCAAATAATCGTCTTGTAATGCTGTTTCCCTGAAGCTTACAAAGAAGGCCAGAATGCCAAAGACTATCAAATGCTTTAGAGATATCTAGAGCCACGGCTCAAGCTTCTCCGTTATTGTGAAGTGCTTGGTATACCAATTCAGTTATGGCCATGGGCATGTCAGCAGTCGATCGGGCAAAGGAGAAACCATATTGCTTGTCGGAGAGCAGATTGTGGGAAGTAAGGTGCTTAACTACTTCGGCGTTGGTTAAAGCCTCGAAGACTCCAGAGTTCTTAAGGACAGGCACAACAGATGAGGATTTCCAACACGCTGGAATGCAAGAGTCGGTGAGGCAGTAGTTGTATAGTTTGGAGAACATAGGAACCAGTTCAGTAGGGATAGGGGTGGTGTTTCAGAGAGAGAGAGAGAGAGAGAGAGAGAGAAGGACTTAGGTTGGTCAGCAGGAATCCGAATATACAGCACAGAAGTTGGGATAGGGGTGTTGTTTAAGCGGGAGAGAGGGAGTGAAGAAGAGAGATGTTGGGCAGGGTATGGGTATTGGTTTGAGAGAGAGAGAGAGAGAGAGAGAGAAAGAGAGAGAGAGTGTGTGTGTGTGTGTGTGTGTCAAAGAGAAAGAAAGAAAAAGAGAAATATTAGTCAGTAGGTATCCGAATATACTGGACAGGAGTAGGAATAGGGGTGTTGTTTGAGAGAGAGGGGGTAGGGAGAGAGAGAGAGAGAAAATTTACGGGAGCAGGGATATCCGAGCAGGAGAGGGAAATTTACGTTGAAACACATATCCGAGAGGGAGAGGGATAGAGAGAGAGAGAGACAGACACACACAGAGAGAGAGAGAGAGACTAAATTTTGGCAGCAGTTATTCGAATATACAACGCAGGAATAGTATTTGAGAGAGATTTGAGAGAGAGAGAGAGAGAGAGATAGAGGGGGGTAGAAAGAGATAGAGAGAGAAAGAAAAACAAAGAGAAAGAGAGAAAGAGAAAGAAGAAAAAAGAGAGAGACTAATTTTTGGCAGCAGTTATCCGAATATACAGCTCAGGAGTAGGTAGGTATAAGTGTCCTTTGAGAGATATATAGATAGATAGTGTGTGTGTGTGTGTGTGTGTGTGTGTGTGTGTGTGTGTGTGTGTGAGAGAGAGAGAGAGAGAGAGAGAGAGAGAGAGCTACTTACGTTGGGCAGCAGGTATCCAAATCTGAATTGAAGTATTTAGTTCCGCCTTTATAAAAAATCCTTTCACCTGCAACGTTCTCATATTTAGGCAGGAACAGATTCGGATAACGTTTCACAACTTCGATGACGTCGACTTTCATGCACTTGCCTTGGCAAAATTCCACGATAGGCGAATCATTGTGACAGTCTTTCCAAAACCGATCATTAGTACGATTGAAAATCCGGGGAAGTGACATACCTGACGCACTTACGAAAAGACAAACGAGGCATACCCAACCAATGGTCTGTGTCTGGGGGAAAGAAAAATTAATGATTAATTAAAGAGAAGAGTGAGTATGGGAGAGAGGGAGTGAGACAAGACAGATAGAGAGGAGATCAAGAGTGTGAGAGATGGTGACAGCATGAAAGTGAAGGACGAGAGAATGACAATGATAAAAAAGAGAGTGAGAAAGAGAGAGGAAATGATAGAATGCTATATAATGGAAAGAGAGAGAGAAAGAGAGAGTGAAAGAGATTAAGAGTCAATGAGTGTGTGTGTGTGTGTGTGTGTGTGTGATAGAGAAGGCGAACAGATGATTGAAAGAGAAGGATGATAGACAAGAGCAAGAGAGAAAATGACAGAATGCTACAGAGAGAGAGAGAGAGAGAGAGAGAGAGAGAGAAAGAGAGAGAGAGAATGAAATACAAAAAGAGATAGAAAGAGATTGCCAAATGTATTTCTAAATGGAACAGCATTTGCAGGAACATTCAAAAGGATCTTGCTGCATAACGGAGACTAAAAAATGGTGAACCATTAGTTACATAAAGACGCCATTGCTACCTGCAAAGTTTCATTAAAACTGTAAAAAGATTGTAAAAGCTTACAAAAAATGGCTACTCAATGAATAAGTTTTGTTAGATCATAATCAATAAAAACAAAAAATTACATAAATGTATATATAACAACATAATAAATTTGCATTGTTTATTGACTATTGCACTGTATGACATAGTACATCATAATATTACTAAATTATACATTATAATTTGCCTTTGAGGTAAATAAATATCTTATTTGATGGCACAATGATTTAGTAATAATGTGCTTGTGTCATGCATCTTGTCCATATACAATTTGTAAAGCTTCAGTAAATAATAAATTTTTTAAGGCTGTGTTATAAGGTTTTCACTGATCACTGGAATTAAATTCCAATGCTACAATTTTGAACCTAAACATAATCTTTAAATATTTTATAACGTTATTTATCATGTCAAACCCCAACTTGCAAATTGATTGCAATACTATGTTTCCAAAATCGACCTGCCATACTGACAAGGAGTTTGCTTGAATTCAGTGAGATTGCATATGTCGTCTACACGTCATGGACGGAGATTTTGGCAGGTTTTCTATGATTGTCATAGATCCCCCGCCCTTGAATTATAAATGGCTGTCTGGGGTACAGCCTGCGCTATAAGTCTTAAGATGGAAGACAGTGCATGCTTTCTAAACTCCTCCATTTAAACCAAAGGTTTACCTGCCGCGGTCTAGACAGGTGAGACTTTGGCAAGTTCTAAGGTTGAAGATTCCATTGACAACTACATAGATCTCTCTATGAACGATATCCCCACATCAAATACTTAATAAAAGGTTTCGGCATTAGCATGCCATTGTGGTTCTCAAAGTGAAGCCATGGTCTGGGGTTACTGGGAAAACTACACTAACATGCCTAGTTATAGGTATAATTCCTGTCGGGAAAGCCATGACATGTCTTAATCAATAATTTTCTTTCTTCAACTCGAATTTACACAATTGACATTGTTCGGACTGTTCTCCTCAACTTTAGCGTCATATTCACGACGTTTCAGTCGTTGTACGATCCAGCCTTCTTCAGGTTATATACGTTAGAATTTCGAGCCGAAGCCTTTATTTAGGCCAGTGGGGTAGATTTTTCTAGTTCCACATGCCATGCCTTTTCTGGATATCTCAGTTTCAGTTATTTCCCTTTAGTAATTCGACTCTCCAAGTTTTTGTTCACCTCTGCTGTGGAACATTGAACATTTTCCCCAATGACACATGGCTCAGTGGATAAAAGCGTTGGTTGAATTAATCCAGTGACCCAGAGAGTTGTAAGTTCAATACCTGGCATACTCATGTGTATTTACGTTTGATATAAAATAGAAGCGAAATTTCTTACCGTTGAAAATGATTTGACAAGAACTTTTCCAGCCATCTTCAGTTTGCACCTTTCTGATGGAATTTATTTTTTTACCGCTCGTTCTGTCGACCTGCGTTGATTCACTGAATTTTGACGCAATAAATAATAAAAATATTAAAGAAAGCAAGCAAGAAAGAAACTGATAAAACGTAACCACAATAAATAACTGGCAATTTATTGGATGAAAATAAGATGAAATAAATTGGTTCTAATTTTAATCCAATTACATCCAGTGAAATTATTTATAGACATGTTTATGTGAGCGGAATATTTTTATGTGGACATGCCATCACTCTAGTTTTGGGTTACCACTGAGATCACCTCTCAGTGGAATTATGACATGCATCTTCTTAGAATTTCTCGAATCCGGTCCTTTCCAGAACATTTTACCCCCAAAATCATCATACTGTCGTTATATTGGTCATACTCTACTTATATATCCTCGTGATACTGATTTACCTGACCTAGTAGATCAACTAAATAAAGTTGAATAGAATTTACATAAGAAATGGAAGAACACAATTCCTTACCCTGCCTAGATATCAAGCTACACCATATTAAAAACGGTTTAAAACTCGGTGTCCTCTGGCAATCAACCAACAAAAATGACCTAATAAATTTCTATTCCTATCATAACAACAAAATAAAATCCGACATAATCATCGGATTCTAACTAAGAGCTCTAATAATATGCAGCCCGGGTTATTTACACGACAAAGAAAAATAGATTGAAATCACGTTCAAAATTTTCTATTTTTAACCTAATTATTTTATATACAATTCGAAACAAAAGGCCCACAAATTATTCTCCCCCCCAAAAAAAAAACAGCCTCTCCTGAGAAACCCAATGAATCCCCAAAATATACTATCCTGCCTACTATTCTGTCACATTTACAATCGAAAGGAATCTATCTAAACTCTACACACACACACACACACACACACACACACACACACACACACACACACACACACACACATATATACAAGGTGTCCCAAAATAATGTATACACTCTTTGAATCGTTATAACTTATTCAATTTATGTATTTTGACTTGTAAATAAGATTAATACAAGACAAAGAATACACATTAAAAGAATTTGAGAGTAAAATATACAAAAAACATAGAAAATTAACTTTAATAGCTACTTGGGGCAATGGCAGGATGTTCATATAATGATGACTTCACATCAGGTGCTCAAACTGGTTGCCGTTCTGTTCAATACACTTTTCATATCTTGAAGAAATAGACCAACAAATGTCCAGTATCATTTCCTCTGGTATTTGAGCCCATTTTTCTTCAATTGCTACTCTCATTTCAGCAATTGTTTCAGGTTTCCTGCTGTAAATTTTGTCTTTTAGAAACCCCACAAAAAAGAAATCCAAGGGTGTCAAATCTGGTGATCTAGGTGGGTATTCGATTGTGCCTCTTCTTCCAGTCTATCTGTTTTGCATATTTTCATCCATATAAGTTCTCACATTACAGTAATGTTTTATTAACTATTAGTATTTAAAGAGTGTATACATTATTTTGGGACACCCTACACACACACACACACACACATATATACACATATATGTATCTACGTGTATATATATATATATATATATATATATATATATATATATATATATATATATATATATATAGTGTATAGGGGCTGCAAATTATTATTCAAACATATATTGTTAAATATAACAGACAACGAATGTCTATTATGTTTTATCATGAACCGTTCCAAGCGTCGTATAATAGCTTTAGTTCAAGAGAAAATAAAGACAAAAACTGTCCAACATTTGGAAATTATTTAGTATATTGGTCGTCGATCAAATGTGTCGGGTCACATGAGCCATCAGCAGAGTGGTTATATGGATATTAAAACTATATATATATATATATATATATATATATATATATATATATATATAAAGGTTTTATGATATTAGTCAATATTTTCAAAATAAAATTACGATAAACTAAACAGTGTTGGGAAAATTTTCAAAATATGTCCGCATTAAATGTTAATATCTTTTTTATTAGACATAAAGAGGGAATATCGGTTTTCTATTCTTATTAAGTAATAAATTGATCTAAATATTTTTTTAAAATCATTTCAATCTAAAGAAGGCGATAAAGCCTCTAAGATGCAAGGTGTTACTGAATGTGAAAGAATATGATAAAAACATTATTATGCAAAAAGGAGAGTAAGAGAACTGGAATAAATGAGACAGAAGATGACGAATGTTAATTGGAAAATAAGAAGACGAAAAAGAGTTCCATAAGCGAGAACAATAAAGAACAGGAATTAAGTAGACAGTAAATAACGATTGACATTGCATTTATATTTTTGAAGATCAAACTTATCTGGGAAGCAAGGAGCTGGAATAGAAGCGAGAAGAGTGAGATAGGTAACTGTTAGCATAAAACTTATGGTTACATCTAGCAATCTAAAATGTAAAAGGAAGGAACCTATCTGCCAATCTAGTACTGCGCTTTAATCCATAAAGTCTATGCTCCGAAGTAGGCAGCTCACCAGAACAATTACTATGAAAATATTTTTTAGAAGAGACATAAGGAATCTGTGTTACGATGCAAGTTAATATTTTCACAATAAATTTGGTGTTAATTAGCATGGGAATATTTTCGAAATATATTTACATTAATGTTTTCTACTGGATATAAAGTGGGGGATCTGTTTTCTATTTTTATTAAGTAATAAACTGACCCCCCTCTAAAATGACTGTCCAATGTCAGATTTTATGAAACGGAGTGGTAGCAACCATTAGGGTCAGTGTTATAGGGAAATAAAAAAGCAAAACACTATGAAAGCATAAAAATATATTTGTATTGCAAAATTATCAATAATGCATAGTTATAGTAAAATGAACAGCAATGCATTTTATAGTTGAATTACCAACAATGCATTTTATCTTTAGCTGAAGGCATACACTTCCATTCGAAAGTTGAAGCCATAAAATTATGTTAAAACTTTGTAGATTTTGGCATTAGAGGTTGATATGGCGCTAAACAAAATCAATCAGACAACATGAAAGAAATCTTCCATGATAATAATTCAGAAAATATCGTACAATTTCTTAAAGAATTCAAATTGTATTCTAAAATATAACTTCAATAAAACTACAACATAAAACACACATGATCATTCTAGCAATTATGGCCACTTCAAAACTCGCAAGAAAATTAAATTTTGGCATGAAATGACCCATAAGGAAATGATATGCCACTAAACAAACATATCTGAAATTGATTTTATGAAGCCAGTCAATGTTTTCTCAATGAAAATTTTCAAGATATATTTATACGAACAATATATCATATCGCAGCTTAGATGTAGCACAAGGCCGAAAGTATGGAGCTCCCAGTGAGGACCGAATAATATACCATATGAGTTTATAATATCTATCTTTATTAAAATATATGGATAATAATTTGTTTTACGAATGTCAAGTTTTATTATGCAATATAAGAGCAATATAAATTTTAAAAATAAATTTAGATTAAATATTTGTTTTCTAGTA